AGCGGTGAATGCTCCAACACTGGAAGTTTTTAAGAAGAGACTGGACAGCCATTTGTCTGAAATGGTGTAGGGTTCCTGCCTGAGCAGGGGGTTGGACTCGATGACCTCCAAGGTCCCTTCCAACTTTATTATTATTATTATTATTATTATTATTATTATTATTATTATTATTATTATTATTATTATTATTATTATTATTGTTGTTGTTGTTGTTGTTGTTGTTGTTGTTGTTGTTGTTGTTGTTATTATTATCTATCTCCAGTCTACAACACAGTCCTTTCAGCAGTTCCAAGAAGGCTCCACACCCATTTGCACCACTCAGGTGACCCTGAGGACACAGATAAACCTCCAAGTGGCCTCAACGACTCTCTAAAAGGATGCAAATGACCAGCTGTCTGCAAGGAGTATAAATCCTTCCATTCCACACCATCCAGTCAGAGCAGAAGAAGCTCCTTAGAAAAGAAACAAAACATCTTCAAAGAAAAACAAGAAAGTCCAGTTGCCTCGTGAAAAATAAAAAAAAAAGCACTTTTGGACCAGCTCTGTGTGTTTATTTAGAAATGAGGACTACATTCCAGGCATTTACACCCAGAGAAATGTAATATGAGACGGCAAGACTAGTGGGTGACTCAGGTGTGCTGGAAGTTGCCCCAAATATTTACAACAAATTTGTGGGTTTGAAATAGGACAGGGGTGAAAATGCCGTTAAGAGATATTTGGAGCCATTGGTATTTTGGGAATCCCCATTTAGCCACATTCCTCTTTCTGCTATGTATTCAAGATTAATATTTATGTGTATTTATATGCAAGGCTGTGGATATATATATATACATATGTATGCATATATTACATCTATATGTGTGTGACGTACGTGTACACATTTTGAGAGCAGGCAACAGAATTTCATTTTTTAATGTGTGCCAGTGTGCCCATAGTAAAACATGACAATAAAGGTTATTTTAATCTTAATCTTTTGATTTAAATCGGGTCAAAATTGCCAATTGTTTTTCTGTGCCTTGGTGAAATTCACTGTTTGCTTCTAAAAACGTGCATATTTGAGCATAATTAGATGCCTCTTAGTGGCATCCACTGCCTGAATTCTTGGCATCCTTTGTGTAAATCTGATAAAGAACGATGACTTGGAAATTAAAGGACTTTTCTGCTTGTTATAAAGAAACCTTGCGGGGGGAAAAAAAGGGTCACTTATGATTAATTTTTCATCTTGAATGTTCCTGGTTGGAGAAGGACACAACTGCCTGTTGTGCTTTCCTCTGACTGTGTAAAGGTCAGGGTTTTTACTTCCACCCAAAAGGGGCTTTTCTTAACTTTGTGGCTTGATAAGAAGCAGGGTTTTCAAGTGAGATCGGCGACTGAGAACAAAGGGCATTTTCATCGCAACGATATCTACATCCTTGGCTCGCGGCTTTGAAATCAGTGGGCCAGAATTTGTACTTTCTACGCTCGGGGTCTCTCCGTGTCGTTTTTCTACCCACCTGCCTTCTTGTGAAGCTGTCCCTTCAAGGTGCAAGAGACGCCTTGGAATGGAAGCTGATGAAGATCATCTGAGGCCACTATTAGTCTTGGTAATACTGATTTGGTAATATAGCGCTATGGATGTTTTTCTTGTTCTGCCTGGAAAAGGCTAGAGATTAAATTGTAGCCTTTCTGATCCAGCTCACAACCAAGCTATTCAGGCTAAGTAGTCTTATAATAAAATGAAAAAAAATTATATGACTTAGGAAAGAAGGAGAGGGGAGGAGGAGGAGGAGGAGGAGGAGGAGAAAGAGAAAGAGAAAGAGAAGAAGGAGAAGGAGAAGGAGAAGGAGAAGGAGAAGAATTCAAATTCGAATTCGAATTCGAATTCGAATTCAAATTAGAATTCGAATTCGAATTAGAATTAGAATTCAAATTAGAATTAGAATTAATTAGAATTAGAATTAGAATTGGGTTGGGACTTTATTATTTGGGACGAATTACTTATTGATTGGTTTAATTAAATTAAATTGATAGAACTTCTCAAGTCTCTCAACTCTGTAATGGCTTAAGATAAAAACAAGTATTTTTTTTTTTTAAAAAAAGCTCTAATAAGATGATCTGCATGAAGTGATTAATTTAATAATCCCCCCCACCCCCACCACCAAAGCCTCCTCATCTTAGGACTTGGGGAAGTGCCAGGTCTTCGAGGCTTACTTAAAAGAAGGCCAGGTTGCGATATTGTAAAAGAAATGAGGAAGAATAAGAAAAAACGTAACCTGATCCAAGGATTAGATTGTGGGCTGGCTATGCCAGTTAATACATTTTAAGCACACCTGTAGTAACAACAGGCATCTAAGCCTAGTTCAACTGACATTATGCTCCAGTTCCCTATTATTTTGACTCGAGACTTTGATTTCCTGCTAAGTCATCAAGACACGGGCCGTAAAAATCTACCTTGTTTTGGCTGATCTCAAAAACCTAACGCTGGATAG